TATAGAGTTATATAGAGAGTTATATAGTTATATATAGAGTTATATAGAGATATATAGAGATATATAGAGTTATATAGAGATATATAGAGTTATATAGAGTTATATAGAGTTATATAGAGTTATATAGAGTTATATAGAGTTATATAGAGTTATATAGAGTTATATAGAGTTATATAGAGTTATATAGAGTTATATAGAGTTATATAGAGTTATATAGAGTTATATAGAGTTATATAGAGTTATATAGAGTTATATAGAGTTATATAGAGTTATATAGAGTTATATAGAGTTATATAGAGTTATATAGAGTTATATAGAGTTATATAGAGTTATATAGAGTTATATAGAGTTATATAGAGTTATATAGAGTTATATAGAGTTATATAGAGTTATATAGAGTTATATAGAGTTATATAGAGTTATATAGAGTTATATAGAGTTATATAGAGTTATATAGAGTTATATAGAGTTATATAGAGTTATATAGAGTTATATAGAGTTATATAGATACCTTTCTTTGCTCTTCTTTTCTCTTTTCTTTGCCGACCGGTCGGTTTCTTTGCGGTTATTTTCATTTAAATTAAATAAATAAGATTTTTCCATTCATTTAGGTTTTTCAGGTTCATTTATCCAGATTGAAGCTTCCAGAGGAGTTCATCGTGGACGATCAGAATGGTTGTGATGTCACGGTACGTTCGTTCATTCGGTGGCAAAGAATGTACGCCCTGCTGGAGTACGTTTTACGGTTTTTTTGCGGTTATTTTTTTTGCCAGTTGGCTGGCTTTTCCGGCGGGTTTCACCGCAGCTCGTTTTTCTATTTTCATTTAAATTAGTCAAAAATAAGATTTTTCCATTTCATCCATTTCATTCAGGTTGAAGCTTCCAAAGAATTCACCGTGGAAGATGTCAGACTACGTTCGTTCATTCAATGGCAAAGAATACACGCCTGGCTGGGATACGTTTTATTCTTTTTTCTCTGTAATTTAACATTAAGTAAGAATGCTCACACACGCACACACACACACAATTACATTAAGTAGCTATATAGGTAGGTTAGATAGGCATAATTTTAATTGTAGGTAGGATAGATAGGAAGCATCCAACACTAATGTAGTTGAAAAGGTAGGCGCGTAAGTTTATCTCATCTATTTTTTCTCGCACCCACATTACACGCATCAGCGTATTACACACACACACAAATACATACATAAACACATTAGTATTTGAGCGTTATTTTATTTTCATTACACATTCTAATTTATTATTACTAAGGTTGAGAGTAATTTAATTTTATAGGTAGTTAAGGGCAACAATTTAATTCTAGGAACAATCTTGTAATTTAAATTAAATAAACGCTGTAAGTGTATCGATAGGTAAGTTAGTTATTAAGTTTTACATTATTATTATTAGGTTGGAGCCCAAGGCATTACGTAGGTGGTGGGGTGGGTGCCGAAAGGCCAATGAATTGGGCTCTTGAGTTTTATAATTTTAGGTAAGCTAGGGCCATAATGTAATGAATAGGTGAGTCAAGGCTACGTTCTAACACACACTCATTAATAGATTTATGGTTTAAGTTTTATATTATTATTACTAAGTTGGAGCCCAAGGCATAACGTAGGTGGTGGGGTGGGTGCCGATTGGCAAATGAATTGGGCTCTTGAGTTTTTTTGTAATTTTAGGTAAGCTAGGGCTTAATTATAATGAATAGGTAAGTTGAGGGTACGATAGCCGATAGACTCTGAATTTCGAAGTCTGTTGTCAGAGGTAAGCCTTGGTGGCCAGTGGTGTACCGGCAATGGTTTACTATCCGGACGGCAATGGTTTACTATCTGCACGGTAATGATTTACCATGCGGCACGGCCATAGTCTACTACCCGCACGACTTCCGGACGGCAAATGGTTTACTATCCGCACGGCATTAGTCTACTATCCGCACGGCAATGGTTTTCTATCCGGTGCCCTGGCTGTCGGTGAACCTCTGTGCAAGGAGGAAGAATGAAGGGGGACTTTCGACTATCGTACCATTAATAATTTAGTATAAATTAGTTAAGGTAATTGAATAGGTAGATAGGATTATTTTTATTAAGCAATTTGAGATGCAGGCACCGCTAAGCTTTCTGATGAGAATCTACTCTTTCTCTATTTTTCTCCATCACCACGGGCTGTGTTTCAACAATCTCGAGGAGGACTGGCACCAGTTTTGGAGGACAACGTAGGAACCGGACCGCATTCAACATTCTGCTTTTGTCGAATGGACGACGGTAAGTTTTTTTTACATTTTACTTACTTTATTATTCTAAAATTTTATTTATTTGACATTATTTTCATTTTATAATTTAATTTTTTTTGCTTCTAAGATTCTAACATTTATTTACTACTACGCAAATAAAAAAAAATTTGTTTACAGAATGATGAGAGGTGGGCAGTTGTGGGAGTCAGCACGTTTTAGATGGTGGTCTCATGATGATTTACATATGATGATGGTGGTGTAGGAAAAATCAGCTCGTTGGCTGTTCGACTGACACTCTGAAGTTCGGATGGCATTTTGTGTGCCGACCAGATGGTGGTGGTCGGTGCAATGGAAAATACGGTAACGACGATTTTTGAAGTAAGGTTTAGTTTCGTTTTTTATTTTTCTCATTCGTTCATTTTATCACTCAACCTTTTAAATTATTCTTCTATTAATTGATTCGTTAATTCATTCTATTCATTAATTGAATCATTGATTTATTAATTCATTCATTCATTCACTCACTCATTCAACCAATTATTCAATCATTCAGTTAATCATTTATACGATCATTCCTTTGTTCCTTGATTTACTAATACGCTAATAAAAAAATGTCTACAGAA